GTTTTCTTAAGTTCCTGTACTTATAAATGTAGTATTGTTTCATGCTTCCTAAAGAATATACCGATAACTCACCTGAATGCTCGTTTCCTTTTATTAAGAATGCTTAGACCGTTAAGGGAATACAAGTAACTTTATCGCAGACACTGCGTGTTGTCCTTACAAACATCAACAGGGTTAAATCTCCTTAAAGTAATCGAATCCCATGAGAAAATAATGATTTAAGCTAATATTTTTAAAGAAGGGAGCAAGCTCTGATTAAAGTTAAGTGATATAACAAGTACTGTTTACAATAAAATAAACATGCAAATATTTCTATGCATCCTTCTAAGAAAAATTATGTCGATTAAAGCAAGCAGATGTCCATTTTAAAGAATTCTTTGAGACTTTAATCTTCTCAACAAGAATTTACAAAATTGTTGGCAATATTCGTTCTTCATAAACCACGGTGAAATACAGTTTTAAGGTAATTAATTTAGTTCGAGGGAGCCACTTTAATATCACGCAAGTTACTCTTGAACACTGGCGCCAATGGTTAATTAACTATTAGCAGCACACTGGGCAAAACGTATATGCAGAGGAGGACTCATTTGGCTGCCACGGTAATTTAACTCTACGCCAATGGGTGATAGTCCGCCTACCATTAGGAATAACAAATAGTATTTTGAACTAATGAACACTTTTGGTGGATAAGGGCTGGACGAAGGCAGAAGATCCTTAATTTGCGAGCCAAGAGAGAAGTTAATGAACGGAAAAAATCATAAAAGACGGCAATACATCAGATACTTGGCAAAACTTTAGCAATTACGGCACAAATAAAATGTTAATTGTAATAAATAACTTAGATATTCAAATGCAGGTGCAGTTTGATGTTAACGTTGACATGAACTTAGTATAAACGCACATAAACGGGCACTAGTTCAAGCAATCAAGAAAAAGTAAATATAAAGGTAGTTGCTGCTTTCTCGAAAGAGGAGGAATGTCCTCTGCAGCAAATCCCTTATTTTCTTCTTAACTTCAATTGCATGACTAGAGCAACGGTTTAAGGCATTGCGATTTATGTAGCTTCGATTACGTTCTCAATATATCTGGGAGTGCACACGCAGGAGCCCTGTCATGGTACATTCTTATTTACTTCAACCGGCCCGAGAACGAGGCGCAGCAAAAATGCCTACATAGATTCATAGTATTGAACCCCTCACACGTAAACTTTAGAAAAGGGCGAAAGATTTATCCTAGGCGGATTATGATTCATCATGCTTCTCATAACCATCCTAGGCGGATTGGCGCGAGTCTCCGTTTTGTCAGTTTGCCTGCGTCCTTTTTACTCCAGACTACCCGCAGAGTCCGGCGTGATCGTGTGCGAAAAGGACAACCTTCGCGCACATAGGGTGTCTACCGATTCCTCTCCCACGTATAACACACAAATACTGCCATAGTTAAAATTCTAAGTGTGGCCACAGTGGCAATAAACTATTATTTGCGGATTTTCTCTTCCGCCCAAACATATTCTTGGCATTAAAGTTTTACCCCGCTTGCGTTATGCCGTCCTACGTGTCGCTGCTTCATTCTCGTGTTCTCATGTCCATTCTATCGGTTTGAGAACTATCGCACATACTGCGGAATGACCTTAAGACACACTGCCTTCTGCCCATTGGTTGTTCACCTTCAGTTGCTATTCTCTCCAATCTATGGTAAGGCTGCCTTTATTCCGCATATCGTTTTAATTGACCATGCTCATTTCCATACCCTTCTTGCATTTTTCACCTTATTTAAATTACGTTTTCACTTTAGCAGGAGCGTCAATTCCAGGCATACACAACCAGCGCCATTAACACCTTCAATCATTTGTCCCACCCGTATAGCCCCTATTACCACCGGTCCCGTAAGTTAGGTAACTGGCAGTTTTTGGCACCTGGAGGGCTATCAACTACCATCTAACCGGTCGGCGTAAATTGTAAACAGATATGCATATTCCCCATTATTATGGTGATGTTTAGGTAAGCAAACAATATATATATATATATATATATAGTAACTAAGGCCACTAAGCGTGGGCTTTGGACACCGACCGGAGGCCACCATCCGCCGCATACTCATGCAACCCAAGGGTCGGCTACCACCTGCAGACACGTCAGGCGTAATTTACCGCGTCAAATGTCTAGACTGCCTGGCCAACTACTGCGGCATGACGTACAAACGTCTGCGCACGCGCGTGCATGAGCACGCCTTAGCCGTAAAGCGAAAGGATGTACGCTCGCACGTCGCCATGCAATGTCTAGAAAATAATCATGTGTTCGACTTTGACGGTGCCCAAGTGCTCTGCCGAGCCGAAAGCATGCTGGCGAGAGAAGAAATCGAAGCCTGGCAATCAGATGCCAACTCGATTATCCGCAGTATTGACCTACTAGCGTCATACGGGGCCATCAGGCACCACTTGCGCGCGAGAGGAGGGCCAATAAGAGGAGAGCGGGATCGACCTATCAGGAGCGAGCACGAACTGCCTATTTAAACCACGTCTTTCTCATTTGGCCTGTCTCCGATGATGTACTCGAGTTCCAGCATGAAACGTCAGACGATTAAATCTTCCTCTGAAGAGAACGCCTTATCTCCTTCTTCCATACATACAGTGCGTGACCTACCTCATGCAATGAAGGCTGAAATTATGAAATGCGTTTTCGATTAGGAAGGATTACTTAGTCGCAGTTGTGATATTGATTATCTTAAGGCATACTCTTATATTATTTTACACTCGGCAGGAAATCGGCTTTAAAATGCACTTTTTTCAATCGCCTGTAGAAAGCGTGCTTGGTAAAAAAAATGACTAATTAAGTAGCATGCAATTTTCCCATTGATTTTCAAAGGTCTTGGAAATTCAAATGCATTTTATAGAAACCACAAGCAAAAAATGTGCTTTCTTTTAGTCAATCAGTAGAGAATCACGTCTGCTTCATATTTTTTACTTAAGTAAGGAGCATGATTAGGTTTTAAAAAAGTTTCTTATTATGAGACCTTTTTATGACCGCGATATGTCCATTCACATAGCATCGTACCTGGCCGTTTACCACTGCTGCTCATGAAATGTACCATATGGTCCGCATCCATTGCAAAATTCTATGGACCTTGTATAATATCTCTTAAATGACAAAGAAAAATATGGGTTTTTCTTTACGTTGAACGCATGCACCTTGTAGATTGTAATCACTAAGCGCTAATGCAACGAGTGATCAGGCTCCAAATTTTTCGGTAATTAGAAAACTTTTTTAAAACCTAATCATACTTCTTCCTTAAGTATAAACTATGAAGCAGAGGTGATTCTCTATTGATTTACTAAAAGAAAGCACATTTTTGTTTGTGGTTTCTATAAAATATATTTGAATTTCCAAGACCATCGAAAATCAATGGAAAAAATGCATGCTACTTAAGTAATCATTTTTTTACCGAGCAAGATTTCTACAGGAGATTGAAAAAAAAGTGCATTTTAAGGCCGACATCCTGCCGAGTCTAAAATGTTATAAGAGTATGCCTTACGATTATCAGTATCGCAACCGCTACCAAGTGATTCTCCCTAATCGAAAACGCATTTCAAAATTTTAGCCAACATTTCATGAGATAGGTCGCGCACTGTATATGGGCGCACAGCCCTCTGCTCTGCACGCAGATGGGAGACTTTTGTCAAACGAGAGTCATTTACCGACGCACAGCTGAGGTTCCTGCACCGTTGCCTTGATGAGAACGTCTTGCCGAAATGTCTCCGATATAACCTGCCTGTGATGACCGACCTTTGCCAGCGAACAATGGCCGAATTAACGAAGAAGATGATCAGAGTTTTGATTCAAGACGGCCACTCTCGCATCCGTAAGTACCGACGAGAGATAGAACAGCATTTCTCCATCTGCCAGTCGATATTTACTGAACACGAGATGAAAGTCATAGAAGCGACCGTACTCAGTAGTGCACATTGCCACCGCAGGTTGCGCGACAGCCAACTGCTAAAGAAGTTCGAAAAAATAAGTCCACCAACGCGACCCCATACTGACAGTGTCCTGGTTCACAACTTCTCCTCTCGTCATCTCACGCAAAAACAGCTATCGGTTTTGTCCTATGAAACTAAATTCAACACGAAAGATGCTATACCAGAACACTTCATCGCATCCTTCGAGTCAGCGCTCCAGAAATGTGAGGCAAACGAAGAGTGCAAAAATTCCATACGGCAACAAGTGTCAACCCTTCTCCTCCGGCACAAACCTCAGAGGGCGATTTCCGAAACTGAAGACCAAGAGCTTCTGAGAATTTGGAAGATGAGGGATATCGTCACCCTGGCCGCCGACAAGGGACGCTCGACTGTTGTCATGGATAATACCGATTACACGATAAAGTCTGTTGGAGGACGAAGGTGCCTATGAGCTTTCGGAGAGTGGAGAGTTCAAGAAGCACGTAAATAGCGTAAACAGGGCAATAGACAAGTTGGGGAAGGCTGGAGCCCTCAAAAGAAATGAGGCATTGGCGGCAAGAGCCACAGATGCCGCCATGGCGCGTTTCTACGGCCTCTCTTCCAACGAGTTCAAACACACTGTAGCGAAGACGACGGGAAAAAGGAGGAGACAAAATATCTACATGCCTTATTCACAGCCAATGGTTACCCACGATCCTTCATACGTGAGTGCCGACGAACGACTACCCGTCAGTGATCAGACGGTGAGAAGCCGAAGTTTTGGCTGGAAATCCCCTACGTGAAGAATGTTTCCGAGGCGACAGCTAGAATCCTAAACCCTTTTGGGATTGGGGTGGCCCATAAACCGGAAACCACCATCAGACGGCAGATAATGAGACCCAAAGACCCGCTACCAGCAACGGAAAAATCAGCAGTGGTCTACAGCATACCGTGCCAAAATTGCAATGCATGGTATGTTGGTGAAACGGGGAAAAGCCTCTGCAAAAGACTGCATGAACACCATCTTGCAGTAAACCGCGAGGACAAACTGTCACTGGTATATGGTCACATGCAACAGGAGAAACATAGTTTCGCCTTTGGGGAAGCAAGCGTCCTCAGTCGAGCCCATGACAAGATGGCTAGGCTGGTGCTCGGAAGCTGGTCCTCAGTTGGCACAATCAACAGGGCTATTGATCTTCATCCGGCCTTCCAGGCGCTGCGCACAAGACTCCAGTCAGTCCAGACGGGGCCGACAGTACTGGCGAGCGAGTTGCGGCTCCTCCAACAGTTGTCACCTTCACAGCAGGGGGAAGGAGCCAGCTGGAGGTCACACGACGAACGCGAGACATCGCCCCACCGGCGCGCCCAGACAGCCAAGCATGATTCGCACATGCAACGGCAACTGATCAGTCCATCCGATAATGAGGTGAGGGCCCATGGGCACACAGGATTTGCAGCGATTACGACAGCCGGTCAGGAGGCAGAGGTCACAGAAGCGGTCACTAGCCACCCGCGGAGGAACCAAAGCCAATCCCCAGCCAGAATGCAGGTCAGAGTCCGTGCGTCAGGCATGCTTATAACACAAGACGGGCGGCGAGGCAGAACGAATTCGAGCAAGCAGGAACAGACACCCCACCACTCTGATGGTGCGAACGAGGAAGTTTCCGAAACGTCAGCACAAATACACTGTGGTCCATGCGATCGTCCATTTTTCTTCTTCGTCGTCTTTTGGGGATGATGAACGGAACGAGTGAGTTCCGTATGAACGATCGGTGAGCGCCCCCTAACATTGTATATTCCCGATCAAAAACCGAAAAGGCAACGGGCTCGTGGCCCGGTGAGTATAGGCGTTGACTTCTAAACCAACAGGTCGCGAGTTCGAGGCTCGGGGGTTTCACACATCGGGCTTGGGTATGGCTGGCTGACGACGACTAATAAGCCAGAAATGGCCATTCCAGTCTCCCTTGTCTTTGTCGGTAATATTATTCTGCCTATATATATATATATATATATATATATATATATGCATATATATATATATATATATAAGAAGAAGAGGCGATCTCGGGAACCATTGTTATATTGCCCTGACGTTTCAAAATCAAACAAGATTTCATCGTCGGAGGTGAGTTTAGTACCACGCCTCACAGTATTTATAGGCGGTGACGATCTTGTTACAACGGGTTTGCGTCTATTCGGGGGCTGTCGTTTGGACGCTTAGCTGTCATCGCACGTGTTTGCATTGACCTTAGCTCTCGTCCTAGGCTGGCAATCTTCTTTGTCACCCTGCCGTCACTTGTGTTCTCACCTGCCGCATGAGTGGCAGTGATGATAGCACCTTCATCGGGTCCGTCGGCGTTACTGCGATCGTTCGTCCTCACACCTGCCAGATAAGTGGACGACGCGGCTTTAGTGCCGATCGCACCTTCGTCAGATTCGGGTTGAAGTAGGGCTGCGCGTGTGGCCCCCATGGACTCGGCCGTACTTGGGTTTCTGTCTTGTCGCAGCCTGACTCTGCTCTTCTGTTCACTAAGCTGCGTCCGGAGGGCCTGGTAAGCCTCAGGAAGCGCTACGCTGCGGTTGATGGAGTTCGCGCCAGTGTGCCAGGCCTCGATTGTTTCCCTCGTGATGCGGTCGTTTCCCCGGCCCAGGATTTCAGCATTCTGGAAGGCGAACGTGTGTCCAGAGTTTGCGCAGTGTTCTGCCACTAGAGACAACGGGTCCATCCGCCTAACTGCCCACATGTGCTCTGCAACACGGGTGTGCAGTCGTTTGCCGGTCTCTCCAATATAGTTCATATCACAGGAACTGCACTGGATCCGAAAAATGACGTTCGTTGTTTCGCCGCGTCATCAGCCCCCGAATAGACGCAAACCCGTTGTAACAAGATCGTCACCGCCTATAAATACTGTGAGGCGTGGTACTAAACTCACCTCCGACGATAAAATCTTGTTTGATTTTGAAACGTCAGGGCAATATAACAATGGTTCCCGAGATCGCCTCTTCTTCTTATTTATGTCCGGGGACGCGCATCTTCGCTTCTATCAGCATATATATATATATATATATTATGATAGTGGGTGCACACCGATCTGGTTACGGAACATGCTCGTTCCGTTGTGCCTTGGGGCTCATACTTAAACCCTCGCGGGCAGTCGCACAGCGACTAGTGATATATGTTGGAAAGGTTATACCGACAAAGACAAGGGAGACCGGAATAGCCATTTCTGGCTTATTAGCCGTCATCAGCCAGTCATACCCAACCCCAAGTGTGGATCACTTGAGATTCGAACCCGGGATCTTTGGTCATGGAGTTGAACGCTCTACCATTG